AGACTATGTGAATATGATGAGATGATGTGAAAAGTGATGACTATGTGAATATGATGAGATGATGTGAAAAGTGATGACTATGTGAATATGATGAGATGATGTGAAAAGTAATGACTATGTGAATATGATGAAATGATGTGAAAAATGATAATGAGACATGAAGATGTGATATGAGAAAAGCATGGAGTCTTGATTGACATGCATCATTTGCATAAGTTTTCTTAAGGGTATGATATGGAATACACCGCCAGAGAAGGCCCCCTAGTGTAAAAGCTTTGGGGATTAGTCCTTGGGGATAGCTCGGTTTGGAAGTCCTTACACTATACCTAATCTAATGGGCTTGAGACAAAGCCCAACAAAATAAAGTGATGGGCCTTCCTTGGGCTTGGGTCCACCCTTCATGCATCCTTCTTCTTGCCATAGCCCTAGTAGTTGGGCCCTTAGCCCATGGGCCTCCTCCATCAATCATCCTATAAGGGTAGTACCTGACTTACCTCACTTAAAGTACTGTATGGTCACTCTAAGTGAATTCTAGCTCTCTCAAAATGAGCAACTCATTCACTTAAGTGAGCTATCATCATCTCCTTGGGGTGGTCTCTATGTGAACTCACTCAAAGCAAACTATTGGTCGCTTTAAGCGAATTCTTTGAAAAGGTTGGCTTAGAGTGCATCCAATTAATCTTGGGACGATGTTGAGTTAGTTCTTTTGAGACGTTGTAGCTTTCAAGTTTCATTATCCCTATGTCACATCTCAACAAATAAACTTCTAAAATACCTAATTTTAAACAATTTCATCCTAAAAATAAAATTAACTCTAATTATGTGTTTTAATTTGTGGTCAAAAATGAAATTTTAAAGTATAAGATATATTTAATAATTGCCTAAATTTGATAAAAAAATTGTAAACATATTTGAAAATTATTAAAACACACCAAACTTAAAATTTTACTTGTTCTCAAGCAATTAAAAATTAAGCACTATCTCTATTCTTAACAACTTAAGATGCACCAAAAATACTCAATATGAATAAATTCTATATATCATTCAAAAGTTCTTTTTCAAACTATACAAAAAAAAATGCATAAATTTTTTTCAAAGAGACTAACTCTCGTAACACAAAATTCTAAACCCTAAACTCATATATCTTAATCATTCATAAGTGAACCCTATGCATATAATTTTGTAATTAAGCATGGATCTCTATTTGATTAAAAAGGATCAGTTTTGATCGAATAAAATATTAGTTATGGTTATTTTCCTTCACTTATAAAAATTATTTACATGTTTTATTAAATTATTGTAATTTGTGACTTTTTGATAATAATTTACTTTAGCTGCTGCTAGTTGGAGTCTGAATTTCAGTATGTGTTTTCTTGAGTCAGGGGTACTTTCGAAATTTCAATCAAACGAGGAAACTTCATCGAAACTATGTGTCATGCTTAGACATTTGAATTTTGAACAGAGCAAACTTTCTTTTTTTGGTAAAGAAGATAGCAAACTTTCATCCCCAAATACTCTACCAAATAATTAGAGGATAATTTTCAAAAAAATATTCTGCTGGCAATTTTTTATTTATTATTAGAATGCAATAATTATGTTATGTTTGTTTTTTATCTATTAAAAGCAAAAGGCTGCTTAAGAAAACTTCTTTCCCGGCAACTTCTCTTCCCATGTGGGTTGTTCTCAATTAGAACCTTAAATTAAGGGTTGAAAAGCAAAAAGAAAATCTAATGCAATACATGTAGAAGAGGCATGAGCCAAATTAATTAAGCAAGTGACAAAAGCGATAACTTTTGGCACAATTTATCAGATTGGAAGGGTGTAAAGATGGGCAACTTAGGCCCCAATTCATGCATACATGTTTTGAGCTATTTTTTTTCTTTTTTTAAAAATAAAATAGGTCAGAGAGCACACATCTTTTTAAGTCACAAAAGACTACTAACCTCAGCCAGAAAATTTATGCATGACATTAAATTAATTAAGTTTTTGCCTTTTTCAACAAAATCTTCGTTAAAATAAGGATAAGTATCTAAATATGTAATACTGTAGCATTTGACAGCTTCACAAGGTTATTGGTTGAGTAGCCATCCTCAACCAACAACAGTCAACTAGTAGTCATCCTCAACGAGTGGGTTTGTTTGTGGCAAGTGCATTGCTATCAGAATGAAGAGCAAGTAGTAATTATTGGAGTTAAGGATCTAAGCAACTTCTAGAAATGGATATTTTAGTAATTTTAAATAATTTAAATAAAAAAATAAAATAAAAGTAATTACCATTTACTTATTCATTGGCGAACAATATAACAAACTTGTCCACTCTACCCATCGCCTTCCTTTTAAATGAAACTACAATTGTGCAATGCAAGTGAGTAGGTGTACGTAATATGTAGGGTCCGAATAAAAGAAAAAAAAATAGGGAAAAACTTTTAAATTGTGAATATTTAAATATATTTGCTCACTTACACAATTTCTACAGTTTTATTCTTCTCAACTCTAGAAGAATAGTTATCTTACAACGTAATGTTTTTAGGCTGTTTAGAATACTTAATTTACTTTATTCATATTTTTTTATTAAAAAAATTTTTGTTTAGTAAAGTTTTAGGGTGCAGACCTTTACGATCATAGTTTTTATTCAATAATTTTCACAATTTTAACTAACTTTCACAAAGGTAAACTCACAAGCAATTGAGAAAGATACAAAGAAAAAAGAATAAAGATATAAATAAATGTACAATCAAATCTAAAAATCACGATAATTGCAGAAGAAAATACCAAACATCAACACAATCAAAGAAAGAAACAACAAATCAAAAAAGAAAAAAATCATATCATAAAATTATGCCAAATAAATAAAGAAGTTACGATTAGTTTCATATATGTTATATATTATGCTCGCCCAAAGTCCTAGTTTTTCACATTTAAGAAGAAATTCATTGCAATTTTTACAATCATGCGATGGAACTCTTCCCCAATCCCCCCCTATAATATCTAACATTCACGAGTTCTCCAATCAAATTATGTTATCTCTGTATGATTAATTGTCACATTCGGAACGTTGAGGACTTCTTGGCATGTGCCACAAAATGTGTAGGAGATAATAGAATAGGTGTGCTTAATCGCACCTGTTTCTTCTCATCCAGCATCTCTAACTTAATCTCTTCAACCAAGTATATTACTTGTCATTTCAACTATGTTAAAAATAAAGTACCTTGCATTTCAGAGGTTAATACAACTACAAATGTTGACCTTTTTTTCTTTTCGCTTAGAATACACTTTATATATTAGTGAGAAAAATGACAATACATGCCCATATTAAAAATAAGATAAAACAATAAATTTACCCTGATAATTTGTTCAGTTAATAAAAATTGTATAATTATTAAAAATAAAATGAAAAAAAAGTAGATATCAAATATAAAATAAAATCCTTTATTATTATTATAGATACAACATTGCTTCTAATCATCATTTATCGAATACATTTTTGACTTATAAACAATAGAAAGTAAAATATGTCCCTAAAAAAACCCAAATAAGAAATAAGAGTGAGACATAGATCATTGAATTGATGGTCACAAGACAAACACGCAAATTTCAATAATCCAACTTGAGAGTTGATTGTTTCATCTTTAAAACCAATTTGTCTAACCCATCTTTATGTTTCAACTTTATAATCAAATCCTCTCACCATACACACATTGTATTAGATCCATGGTTCATACTAAAAATGTATCTCAATTGCATTTAATAGTTCAACATCAATTCTACTCAACTTTAAAAGATATAGATACTTAGGAATTTATAACTAAGCAAAAAATAAGAGCTTGTTACATTACAGTCTTGCAGTTTGCTACATATAAGCATGCACGCAATAAAATTAACTAAACCTTTAAAAAGGTGAAAACTGATCTCTACAAAAAAGTGAGGATAACAGTTACATGGTGTTCTTGACATTATTTATGCTATTTAACAAAGTTGCACTGCTCAGCATAGTCACATGGATAAGAACAAGCATGGTACATCCGACTATGTCAGCAAAAGCTAAATATATTGTTTGAGATATAGACTTAACATACATTCAATCATCCATTGATTTTTGGGATACACGACTTCTCTTCTCCTCAATGCCAGATTGGGAAAATCTCAGCCGAAGAACCTGCAAAACATCTTCAATTTTGACATCTTTCTTTGCCAACAGAACCATGGCATGATAGAGTACATCAGCCATCTCTGATGCAGTACGTGACTTGTCCTCATTATTCTCTAGTGTTTGACACAACTCGTTTGCCTCTTCTCTACAAGATGAAAGATACAGTTACAATCTGATATCAAAGAGAGACAATCCTTTAATCCGTATTTTTCCTTCAAGCAAAGTGAATTACAACAGAGGCGTGTTTTAAGTAAAATGCATCTAAACAGACAATTGGTAGTTTGGGATGAAAATGGATATTTTTCCCCCTTTAAATTCAAACTACAGAATAACATAACAAGACATACTCGACCTGATTTTAGAGCATAGCAACTTATCATTAAGCAATAATCGCTTTGTCCACGAAGGCTTTTCATTTTCTGTTTCTGCTAACTCTGCTTTACGTTGGGAGATTGTTGACTCTAACCCATACAAAGAGGTTAATGCCAATTTATTTCCTTCATCCTGTAACAGATAACCCGAGCCAATTTGAATATTGCCAAACTTTCTCTACAGGAAAACAAGGCAATAACATGTTTGTTTTAATTGGTTGAACTTACCTCTTGCTGTTTTAACAAGTCAAAAACTGATGTATAATAGCATGTTTCTGCCCCCGTGTGACAGGTAGGCCCGTCAGGTTTCCCAAGGTATATTATCTGAAAAGTAGTTAACAGGGGTAAAAAGCATTAACTACCTAATCATACCAAAAGCAAAGATAAATAATTCAACGAGAAAAGAGGCAAGTGCTAACAGAATCACGATCACAATCAATAAAGACATCATGAACATTGATAAAATTATTAGAGGTCTCTCCTTTGGTCCACAATGCAGATCGTGATCGGCTATAGAATGTGGCCTTTCGAGAAGATAGGGTTGTAGCCACTGCTTCTCTATTTGCAAAACCTTGCATTAATATGGCCCCCGTGTCAACATTCTGAGCTATTGCCACAGCCAAACCTTTGTTATCCCATTTTACACTGTCCAGTAATGAGTCTACCTAACAAAAGTTTAACACTTAAATGTAAAAACAAGGATTGATCTAATGAAATAAAAAATATAACAAGAATAAATATATGAAAAACAAAAAATGCTAAGAAATTTCACAACTAACACAAAGGATGAATGTTCTTTGTTAGAACAACATATTTGCATTCAGCATTAAAATGTGAAAGAATCTGCAGACTTCATCCATGGAACTGAATTGCTACACAACATAAACCCAGAAATATAATATAAACTTACATCAACAATTTAATGTCAAGTGCAACATTAGATAGAAAACCAAACAACTAAAAATTATTAAAACTTTAAAGAAACCCACAGGCAAAAAAGGTAGTTGGTGAATAAATGTAAAGCTAAATTACACATTTTGTCACTCATATTTCACGATTTCATGAATTTTGCTACACAGTTTTAGAATTTGTATTATCCAACATCATTAACTATAGTTGATGTGATACATTAACTGATGTGGATTGATGTGATAAACAAGTGATAATGTAACACTAATGTGTCACATCAACAATTAATGTATCATGTCAACAATCAACAAAAGTGTGAAAAAAAAAACTCAATAGTTAAGTGGAAAAATTTGAAAAATTGCATTAAGGCTAAAAATAATTATTTATTCAAAGAAGCAAAATTTACTAGTGGATTTCCTATCACATGACAGCCTTAATTAAGTGCGCGTTTAGATTCAAGTAGGAGCAACCAGTATCACATTACAATACTAACTGGCATAATCTTAGGTAAATATTAACATCTTTGGTTTCACATTGAGGAATCAGTTTTGGGTCCAGAATTGATTAAGAGTTTGAAACAACTTTAAGTAATCTTTGGGTTATATTTATAATGAGTTTTACCACTAACTTTGCTTTTAGTTAGTTTAGATGGAAGTACCTTAGGGTTTGATGTGTGCATAGAAGAAAAAACAATGCAGTGGCTCCTCCTCCCCTTGTAACTGCAATTGGAATAAGAGAGGTTACGCTTGTGGAAACCCTTAGCAGATTGAAGCATGTGAACATACGAAACAGCCATTGATTTGAAGGGAACCTACGCTACACCTGAACGACCCTTATTTATAGAAGTTCAGGAGTGTCCAGAACGGCCCGTTTCGAATCCGGAACGGCCCGTTCTGAACCCCTTGTCATGTGCAAAAGTCACATCCAGAACGGCCCGTTCCAACCATCAGAACGTCCCGTTCCATTATCAGAACAGCCCGTTCTGGTAATCATCTAGACCTTCAAGTTCTCCATCCAAAACGGGTCGTTCTGATACTGGAACGGGACGTTCTGATGGTTGGAACGGGCCGTTCTGGATGTGACTTTTTCACATGACAAGGGGTTCAGACACGGGCCGTTCCGGATTAAGAACGGGCCGTTCTGATGATTGGAACGGGCCGTTCTCAAATACGATTTATAGGTCAATTTAGTAGTTTGGAACGGCCCGTTCCATTTTTAGAACGGTCCGTTCTGGGCTACTAAATGACCTACACCGGACTTTTGGGCCTTATGAAATAACTTACTACTTTACATTTAGCCCCTTCAAACAACTTACTTGATTTTGTCAACGGATTATATAATCTTTAGTTTCTTCATTTGGAGGATTTTCCATGTTGTCGAACTCTAGTACTTCAAGCGAGTCATGTTGCTTGAGAGCATCAAGCACCATCTCTTGCATAAACATAAATTGCTCCCCTCGAGCCACATCTACACCATTGTCTGAAACACCCATACAATTATATTCAACATGTAAATCAATGTGGCATCTCTTTTCCGTGATCACTCTAAACAAAATAACCAGGTTTGAATCCTTGTTTATAAAGGTCAACCTTCACATTTTCATCCTTCAAAATCTTTGGAAAATTGCATTTGAGGCATGGGCATCTAATCCCCCCATCACCTTTATAGTATTTGTATTGGCAAGCTTTGTTTATAAACTCGTCAACCCCTAATACAAAAGATGGTTCCAATCCTATTCTACCATAATAACACCTATCGTAGATCCAAGCACAATTCAAAGTAAAAGAATCTATGTTTTGTATATTTAAACATGGTTGCAATAATTTAAGGGTATATAAAACAGAATTTATATAATATATATAATAACATATATAAAACAGAATTTAAATAGCAAAACTTAGGACAATAATTTATATAATATTTATAATAATATACATAAAACAAAATTTATATAGCATAATACCCATCGTATTCTAAATTTAATTTAAAATAGTAATTAATCTTTAAACATAATTAATCTCATATAGTTGGAAAATCAAATTAATCTAAAAAGATAAAAAAAAAATAGTAAAATGAGATCAAGTGAATATTTGAAAAGGTCTATTAATGCAAGTAATAGTAAAATCCACAAATGGCATGCAAAAGAATAATGTGATTTAAGTTCATTAGGATTAGTAAGCTGCAACTATACTTAATATTCTATTTTCAAACATAGGGGTGGGTTTACTTTAAAGAAAGTGATTTAAGTTCATTATAGGATTAGTAATCTTTCAACTCATTATAGTTTAGTTGTAAGGGAATCTGACCAAAGATCTTGGAAGTCCACAAAGAATGGATTCTCTCTAGTACAAATGAATGGTTCCTGCATGTGAAGGGAAAAACGAATGAGACTAGTAAACATGACAATATACACTTTAAATAAGTAAAAGTGATTCTTTTGTTATTTATTTTAAACTAGAAGATGATCAAATTTAAATAGTATAACTTAGGACAAGAATTTATATTTTGTCTTCTACCTCAAGTCAGCATGTCATTCATAGAATTTTTTATTGATACAACTAAAATATAATTAGTGACTGTAGATCAATAAATACTTGTGATTAATTATATTAATTGACTCTCAATTTTTCTTTTATTTATAATCAAGTACCTAACAAGATTTCATTTAATATTTAAGTAATAATTTTCTCAAAAAGAAAAAAATATTTCTTATTCTGTAATTCAAATGTTATTTGTTTTGAGTTGGTACACTTTATTTACTCATTATTATGTCATATTTAGTTTTTTATATTAGCTAATTCTATTAAATATAATGTCATCTGGATGACATAACTCCGTATTTGTTTGTTTATGGTTGTCCCTTTTTCGTTTGCCAGCAAGTTGGATCAAGCTAAAGCTGTCAAAATGGGCTCAGCCCGGTGAGCCAACCCGGCCCACCACGGGTTCGAGCCGGGTTGGGCTAAAAAAAATTTGCAAATTTTAGTGTGGGCCAATTTTAAACCCGGCCCACTAACAACCCGGCTCACCCGGGTTCAACCCGTGGTGAGCCGGGCTGACCCACCAGCCCATAAAAAAAAAAAAAAATTACTTTCCCCCACCCAAAAAAAAAAAAAAAAAAAAAAACTTCTGCTATTAGGTTGGGCCAAATAAAACTTCATAGACCATCATAGATTCTCAATTTTATGTATTTTTTCTTCAAATTATGTAATTAGTGTAGGAATTTATTTACTTTTCTCTAGAAAAGCTTATGTGCATACTATTTTTGCAGGATTAGGCATTAAATTTGATTACATTTTTTTAAATTAGGTGATTTTTTCAAATTAGGTGAGCCAACCCGTTTAGCCCACCAACCCGTGGTGGGCCGGGCCGGGCTCAATTTTTTCCAGCTCACCAATAAACGAGCCGGGTTGGGTTGGCCCACCAAAGGCTCAACCCGTGGTGGGCCGGGCCGGGTTACCCGTTTTGACAGCTCTAGATCAAGCAAACCATTGATTCAATAATTTAATGCAAAACTAGAATTGTATACTTGTACCTTTTTCCAGAAAACTGCCAAGCAAGTTCACATCACCACATCTGAAGCATTCTTTAGCAGCTCCGACCAGTCCCTGAAAATTCAAAACCCATCACATCAAAATCTAAATCTAAATCCAATTTCACACTTCATATGTAATAATAGAAACCCTTAAACAGTAATCCTCCACCACCTAGTCAAAACTCAACATTAATCCGATTTAAATGAAGACATTGAATTAAGCCAACTAAATTCATTGGATACCAATGCTTCAGGTCCACAGTGATGATGCAAATTGAAGAACGTATGCAGAAGAGCACGAAAACATTGTTATCATGTGATTCTTCTATTTCTTGTTATAATGTGCTATATGAAAATTGTATTCCAAATAGAAAAAATAGATTGTTTTTCATTCCCAAGAAATTCCTCTTTCCCTAACCCGCATAAGCATTTTAAGATAATCTAAATTAATTTGAAGACTTTGTCAACGTCAGTTATGACATGCCTAATGTCATTAAATTAAACCAAGACAACAACCCTAACACTTGATGATAGAATACCTTAGAAACAAAGTACAAAATTGTGTAGAAGGAAAGTGAAGTGAAACAGAGGAGCGTAGAATAAAGAAAAAAGGAATGTCTTTCTCATGCATGGATCCCAATGCATGGCGGGAAGTAGTCCTAGCATTGTATTGCTTACTGGAACACACTTTTTTCGTTTATTTTAAAGGAACTTGCTTTGTTCCCTCTACAAATCTGTCCCTTCACACCTATTTATACACAAAAAAACTGGCTAGATTTATTTACACATATGGATAGTGTGACACCCTTACTACCCCCAACACATATATTGTAATAATGTAAATAAACTAAGGAAATAAATTTTTCAACTTTGGTAAAAGGGTTCACATAAAAACCTTTAGAAACATTCTTCAATATCCAAAATATTTTGAAAATGAAACTTGGAAAATAAAACATAAGAGGTTACAAAATGTTTTCAAAATAATAAGTACAACTCCATATACAAATAAAATCCATGTCCTAGAAATCCTCTGCCCTGATGTCACATTATCAGAGCATACTCATAATTCAACTGTTGGCATTCTAGATGTCACTCATAGTCGGATCTTCCTCACCTAAAACATCCACAAATTGTACGGTGAGAAAAGAAAACATCTATGTGTAAAACACATAAGGAAAAATACAACATAATCTCATCATAACTCATTACTTAATGAAATATTCACAAGCATTTCTATATATCATAACTCTATCAATCATGCATCATCTTCACGTCATAATTCGCAATCACACCAATCCATCACAAATCTTGCAATTAACAGTATCATTTTCACATTCATAATCCACATAAATCTTATAATTAACAATATGCCAAGGGGAGTGTAGAATAAAGAAAAAGGGAATGTCTTTCTCATGCATGGATCCCAACACATGGCAGGAAGTAGTCCTAGCATTGTATTGCTTACTGGAACACACTCCTTTTGTTTATTTTAAAGGAACTTGCTTTGTTCCCTTTACAAATCTGTCCCTTCACACCTATTTATACACAAAAAATTTGGCTGGATTTATTTACACATATGGATAGTGTGACACCCTTACTACCCCCAACACATATATTGTAATAATATAAATAAACTAAGGAAATAAAATTTTCAACTTTGGTAAAAGGGTTCACATAAAAACCTTTAGAAACATTCTTCAATATCCAAAATATTTTGAAAATGAAACTTGGAAAATAAAACATAAGAGGTTACAAAATGTTTTCAAAATAATAAGTACAACTCCATATACAAATAAAATCCATGTCCTAGAAATCCTCTGCCCTGATGTCACATTATCAGAGCATACTCATAATTCAACTGTTGGCATTCTAGATGTCACTCATAGTCGGATCTTCCTCACCTAAAACATCCACAAATTGTACGGTGAGAAAAGAAAACATCTATGTGTAAAACACATAAGGAAAAATACAACATAATCTCATCATAACTCATTACTTAATGAAATATTCACAAGCATTTCTATATATCATAACTCTATCAATCATGCATCATCTTCACATCATAATTCGCAATCACACCAATCCATCACAAATCTTGCAATTAATAGTATCATTTTCACATTCATAATCCACACAAATCTTATAATTAACAATATGCTAAGGGGAGCTTAGAATAAAGAAAAAGGGAATGTCTTTCTCATGCATGGATCCCAACGCATGGCAGGAAGTAGTCCTAGCATTGTATTGCTTACTGGAACACACTC